TCTTCTGAAGAACTGGAAGTTATAAAATCTTAATATTTGGCAGGTGGCTTCCTGGGATAGAGCTCACCAAAGTTTGCGAATGAAAATGACCTCAACCTACTTTAGAGGTCACAGAGGTCAACAACATTTTAATGGATTTGTTCTTGAGAACTAAAAGGAATGGATTCATAAGATTTGGCTGGTAGCTTTTTGGAATAGAAGAAGAATCAAAAAGCATAGAATCTTATAATGATATTTTGCTGGTAGTTTCAACAGATGGAGCCAACAAAGTTTGCGAGGGAAATCTTTTAGTACAATATAATGAGAATATTTTGCTATGACTGCTTAAATATTCAGGTGAGCGATACAGGCCCTCTTGGGCCTCTTGTTTCTTTTTAGGGCTCCACCTCAGAGATATGGATACTCTATAGTAATCACTGTGTCTGTTTGTCCATCTGTCTCTCTGTTTGTCTGTCCACACTTTCCTTTCTGGAGATTGTCTCAGAATCTGAAAGACTAACCTTTTTTAAAATTTGATAAGGTGATACACTGTGAAAAGTAGATGTGCAATAGGGGGTTTAAATAGTTTCAGTTGAGTAATACAGGCCCTCTGGGTCTCTTGTTTTCCAATTTCGCAGGATTTGTGTGTGTACAGTGTCTTTATCAGGAAAGTGGTCACACAACCTTGTATAAAATATGTAACAGATTATAGATCTTGTTTTTTTCTCCTCCTAGAAATCTTTGCCGAGTTTCACGAAGAACATTGGTCCGTCATCCTTTGTACAGCTTACAAAGTGTTCTTCTGTGAAAACTCTCATGTACAAGCTGAGAAGGTAAATATGTCAACTTGATGATTATTATATAGGGTGAATTGGATGTAGTTGACCGGGATCCGGATGCTTTTCCGATGTCATTTTGTACAGTACAGGAACTATGCAGCTTGCGATAGATTTTGTACAGTAAAGGAACTATGCGGCTTGTAATAGATTTTGTACAGTACAGGAACTATGCAGCTTGTGATAGATTTTGTACAGTGCAGGAACTATGCAGCTTGCGATAGATTTTGTACAGTACAGGAACTATGCAGCTTGTAATAGATTTTGTACAGTACAGGAACTATGCAGCTTGCGATAGATTTTGCGCAGTACAGGAACTAGGCAGCTTGCGATAGATTTTGCACAGTACAGGAACTAGGCAGCTTGCGATAGATTTTGTACAGTACAAGAACTAGGCAGCTTGGGATAGATTTTGTACAATACAGGAACTAGGAAGCTTGTGATAGATTTTGAACAGTACAGGAACTATACAGCTTGCGATAGATTTTGCGCAGTACAGTAACTAGGCAGCTTGCGATATATTTTGTACAGTACAAGAACTAGGCAGCTTGCGATATATTTTGTACAGTACAGGAACTATACAGCTTGCGATAGATTTAGCACAGTACAGGAACTATACAGCTTGCGATAGATTTTGCACAGTGCAGGAACTATGCAGCGTGCGATAGATTTTGTCCAGTACAGGAACTAGGAAGCTTGCGATAGATTTTATACAGTACAGGCACTATGCAGCTTGCGTTAGATTTTGTACAGTGCAGGAACTAGGCAGCTTGTGATAGTTTTTGTACACTACTGGAACTAGGCAGCTTGCGTTAGATTTTGTACAGTACAAGAACTAGGCAGCTTGCTATAGATTTTGTACAGTGCAGGAACTATGGAGCTTGCGATAGATTTTGCGCAGTACAGTAACTAGGCAGCTTGCGATATATTTTGTACAGTACAAGAACTAGGCAGCTTGGGATAGATTTTGTACAGTACAGGAGCTATGCAGCTTGCGAGAGATTTTGTACAGTACAGGAGCTATGCAGCTTGCGATAGATTTTGCGCAGTACACGAACTAGGCAGCTTGCGTTAGATTTTGTACAGTACAGGAGCTATGCAGCTTGCGAGAGATTTTGTACAGTACAGGAGCTATGCAGCTTGCGAGAGATTTTGTACAGTACTGGAACTAGGCAGCTTGCGATATATTTTGTACAGTACAAGAACTAGGCAGCTTGGGATAGATTTTGTACAATACAGGAACTAGGAAGCTTGCGATAGATTTTGCACAGTGCAGGAACTATGGAGCTTGCGATAGATTTTGCGCAGTCCAGGATCTAGGCAGCTTGCGATATATTTTGTACAGTACAGGAGCTATGCAGCTTGCGAGAGATTTTGTACAGTACTGGAACTAGGCAGCTTGCGATATATTTTGTACAGTACAGGAGCTATGCAGCTTGCGATCGATTTTATACAGTACAGGCACTATGCAGCTTGCGTTAGATTTTGTACAGTACAGGAACTAGGCAGCTTGCGATAGATTTTGTACAATACAGGAACTAGGCAGCTTGTGATAGATTTTGTTCACACGTTGTCTTGTTGATGAATGCTAGGGTGTGTGGGGTCATTGAGTAGAACTAACTTATGCAAAAGTAAATAAAAACAAAAATTATCTGATAAAATTGATTACAAACATGTAAAGAGTATATGTACTTGATTTCAGATGAAAATAAATCCATGCTTAACCAGACTCGAAAGTGACCTCACCATCGGTCTGTCACTACACCTTGTACTAGTGGTGGCAAATAATAGTAAACTTGATTGAACAATTAATGTATGTCTTATAAGCTTAACAACATTACCCATTACAACAACATTCTGCAACAGCTCCCCTTTCATGTGTGTATTTGTATTTGATGTAAGAATAACCTCTACGAGGCCTCATGCAAATTAGTTGCAAAACTGTGGTTTTCTACCTCCATTTGATAAAGTTTTAAGATCTAGCTGGTGCGATGATTTGGCTTGGTATCAACTTGGCCGTTTTGATAATACACTGTAAATTGCTAACGACCCTTTCAGTATGGCTCTTGTTTTCGTAAAATTATCAGCATGTGCCCGAATGCCTTCAACAACTCCTGGCACAGGTGTTGATTTCATGGTTCACTGGTCGGACCTTATGTAAGGGTAACTGAGGTAAGACCATTTCATGGTTCACTGGTCGGACCTTATGTAAGGGTAACTGAGGTAAGACCATTTCATGGTTCACTGGTCGGACCTTATGTAAGTGTAACTGAGGTAAGACCATTTCATGGAGGATTTGGATAATATTTTAATGGTTCCGGCAGAAAATGGGTTCGGTGGTTCGGAATTTATAGGATTGGTATTGGGAAGTTCGTTATTACTTTAAAAAGAAGAACAATTCCGCACACCACCATTTCATTCAGTATCAAGAGGTGATAGATTTTGGGTGGACAGAAAAATATGGCTCCTACCTGACATAGCAAGGCTTATTTTCAAGGCTGGTCTTTCATCAAATGCTTGGTAATTTCAATATATAAATGTATGTAGTTTCGTAGCTTTCATAAGTGTCACCAAATAAATAGTCTCCCACCTCACAGAATTGTCCCCTTTTACCTTTTCAAGATTTTTCTGTTATCCCCTAGGGTAGGATTTCTTTATTATCCCCCAGGGTTTGACAGATGGCAGACAGAAAGAACCAATATGATGACATCAGGGAAACAAATTATGATGTCACAATCAACTTTTGACGAGAGAGTTGAATATTGCAAATAAAACTTGCCAGATTTTAATATCAGTGAAACTGTGACTGAAATTATAGGATAGGAATATAATAATCATCCCCTACCTTGTGGGTGTGTGACAGGGATATTTTCGACCCTCAGTGTGATTACTTGATTGTCTAAACCTCGGCAGGTAAGACAATAACGAGGGTTGGAGATTTTCCAGTCACAACCTCACAGTAGAAGATTGTATTGTCTCCCACCCTTCACATGTGTGTCTCCCATTTAAGCCAGAAAAGATCAGCTTGTCACCCCCTAGGGGGAGATAGCCTCCGTCATAAAATGTGTCACCGGTAGTTGGCACGTCATCAAAAGTGAATGACGATATTCATACCCCACATGTGTTTTTGTTTACACTACTGTCGGCAGAGTTGTGACTGAAATCATAGGATGGAAGAAAAATAATCATCCCCTACCTTAAGGGTGTAACAGAGAAATCTCCAACCCTCTGGGTAATTTATTTGGTTGTCTAGCCCTCAAAAAACATCACCCCTCAGGTTAGAGATTTCTCTGTTACACCCTCAAGGTAGTGGAAGATTCTATTAATTCTTACAAAGCCAATTTTTTTTTAACCATGATAGAAAGTCATGTAAGATAAATCTATCTTACATGAGCATGACATCATACTCACTGTAAAAACAAAGAAATGATGTTGACGTCGTTTTAATTTTTAGCTCACCTGGCATTAAGTTCCTATGAGCTTATGGTATGGTGTGTCCATCTATTGTCCATCAACTTTTTCTTTGAACAAGCTCTTCTTAAAAACTGGCTGACCTAGGGTTATGATATTTTGCCAGACTGATGATACTTAGCCAGTAGGTACTTGGCATGTAGTGCTATGAAGATTCCTCAAACGAATGACCTTGACCTATGATGAAGGTCACCGGGGTCAAATGTGTTAAAACCTTTTAACAACTCATTCTGAATAACCAGGGGACCCAGGGCAATGATAGTTGGCCAGAAGGCACCTGACATGGAGTGCTATTAATTTTTCCCAAATAAATAGAATAGTATAGCGTTTCCTCCAGTGAATGACCTTACCTTCTTTTAAAGGTCACATGGGTCAAATGTGTAAAAAAAATCTTTAAATGACTTCTTTCTAATTATAATTCCTCAATAGAGGTAACAAGAAACAAAATCTTCCTTCAGTACAGATTAGGTGATCTCAATTATGAAGTCTGAAACATTCTTAAATCAAGGAGATGCAATATGTGGAAATATTTGCAAAAATACATTTATTGAGAACATTTTCCCATGATTGTTTAAATATCCGTTGAGTGATACAGGCTCTCTGGGGCCTCTTGTTTTTGCTCAATTTTATTTTCCAATTCAAGTATTTTATCTAAATTTATGATTTGATACTTGTATGTATTCTGTGAGTTTAAACTAAATTGTGACACACTCTTTCTAGTGTTATAGATAATTTTGAAATTGGTTCAGTATTGAAGAAGTTGATATTTGGCCACAAGATGGCAGCTACACCTCGCTTTCAAATTTTAAATTGGTAAGCAATGGAAGAAAATAACTCTTATCATATGTCAGTTATGTAGGATAGTAATGTCCCACCCTTGGGTGCATAATTTAGGATCCAATACCTCAGCAAGCTTTTGGTTTTTGCCCTAAATTCTGTACCCTAAGGTGGGGCATTTTTATTTTAAATAACTTACATATGAGACTTGCAATCAACTTATTCTATATAAACATTCATAAAACATATTTTATACGTTCTTGGATTAGAACTCTTTTTGAAGGGAGATAGTAATAGGCATGATAACGATAACAAGTTACGTAAGTACTACCCGCAATCCTAAGATTTATTGATAGGAATTACAGTTATGTTTTGACTTAAGAGAATTTCACTTTTATGTTTATACCACATCTGATATATCCTCCTATCTTTCAGTTGATAGATCATTTTTCCCACCTCCAAGATGGCATTTTTGCAAGGATTGCATACGACGCCTTTGAAGCTCATGTGTTCACTGACCGATGGGGCAAGGATGATCTGGATGTATCCTCATATCCCATTCGATTTGTTCTCTGCCTTGTGAAGCAAAGTTTAAAGCAGGATTGGGATTGCTTCAAGTCACAGATGAAAAACATTGCCGATATGCTGGGTATGATAGCCCTGCAAGAGCCTGGAAAGGTGACGTATCATTTGCTCGAACAATGGTCTTCAGTTTCCACCTATTTCAGTGAAGCAGAATTGCAAAAATTTCTGGATATTATGCAAAAATTTGTGGCAGATGCACAAACCCCACCACCAGATGCTCATTTTCAGCTTGTGTTTGATCACATTGAACGAGCAGACATTAGTCACAAACCAAACAGTTGTTATGTCCTGCAAATCCTAAACACAGAAACCCTCAGACAGAAAGCGTTGGAGAAGGTGAAGTGGAATTACAAGTGCTTCACACCTAAAGCTTTGTTGTGGATTGCTCAATCAAGACATGAAATGGTAGGACCTCCAAGTCTTTCTGGTTCCATGTTCTGTCGGATTGTGTTTCATCTGTTGCAACAGGCCTTTTACAAGATCAGAGAACAGATCAGGATGAAAGACATTTTGACGTTTGAGAAGGATGAGTGTGTTGAGCCCGTGAAATGGTTTTTTAAAGCAGCAGCAAATCAAGGAAACGAAAAGTTGGCCAAAGGGAACCAGTTTGATGTGTTCCTTCGAGAGTTGAGTGAAACATTTGCTAATGAGCCCATGTTCATTTTACATTTCTTTGAAACCATATCAGTCTCATCACCACTGCTGATCAAAGCGACCAAGAAGTTAGGATGCCGTCTGATGATACAGCTGCAATCCACGTTCACCTCTGATATAGAGGCTGCAAACACTGTGTCCGAGTATGACATAATCCTTGACAGATTATTGACTGCCCAGCAATCGTGCCTTCATAATGGTATATGCAGCAGTTGGAATATGTTTTATTTAAACGTGACATTGCCAATCCGACTGCATCACTGCAGAAAGGAGGACTTCATTGCTCATATGGATAAGGACTTCGGCAGTCTTTTGCTGGCTTTCTAAGTTTGCTCTTACAGTTTCCTTTCTATCAACATAAAACTTTTCAAAAGAATTCCAACTGATCTTTATCCATCCAACAATGAAGGAAACAAGTGAACATGTCTCAGCCACAAAGTGAAAGTCATAGGATAATTTTTGTCTTGCCGCCACGCAGTGGAAGCAAGACTAATTATCCGGCGACGGCTGCGGCGCCGTCAACATTAAGTTTTTGCTTTAAAGTTATTTTCACTGAAAGTATAAGTGCTAGAGCAACCAAACATGGACCATAGATGCATCTTAGGTAGTACATCCCAACCTATGCATCAAATGCTGGATGGGGCCTACCTTTCATGGTCCATTGACTTTGTCAGCATCTCCATCAACATTAAGTTTTTGCGTTTAAATTAGTTTCTCAGATATATGCATTGATGGTCAAAGCAAGGCATAGGTGAGACATAGCAATCCGAATGACTTGTACATTTTAGCTCGGCTGCCGTGAAATGCCCGGTAGCTTATGTAATGGTACATCATCCTGCTTCTGGCTTCTGTTGTCAACTTTCCCTGTAACTTAATCTATGGAACCATCAGAGGGATAAAGTATGGCCTATAGCATCGTATTGTAGAGTGCAATCAGATTTATTCATATAAGTAATCTTGACCCTCTTTCAAGCTGTCAAAAGCTTTTATGTAGTTTAAGGTCATAATGTTTTGCATAGGAATGTTATGTTTGTTAAAATAAATGTCATGACTCGCATGCACTTTCAAGGTCACTGGGGTAAAGTGTATTTAAACTTAAAATAACTTCTACTAAATTACCAGTCCTAAAATGCTGGATGCGACCTACTTTTCATGGTCCATTGACTTTGTCACCATCTCCATCAACATTAAGTTTTCGCATTTAAGTTACTTTCTCTGAAACTATAAGTCCTGGACTAACCAAACTTGACATGTGCATTGATGGTCGAAGCAGAGCACAGGCAAGACATATCAATCTGAATGGCTTGTTTTCAAGAAATTGAAGTGAATTGCCATGATATTTATTCAAATATTACAGAATAATGAAGTTCATAGTTACAATAGTATTCCTTTAGTAAAGGCCTATGAAGTTTCTTCAAATAAATGATCTTGAGTCAAAAAATTATAGTTTTACAGAATTGAGGCATGGGATGATAAATTTCGACCATAGGCTGTAAAGGTGTATGCTATCGAAGTTGGTAAAGGATTACTTTGACAAATCTTAATTGTCACATAGTTAATATGTTAAAAATTGAGAAATTGAAAGAAAACAACACCATGTAAGTGATTTTAAAAATTCCTTTTGTTCATTTTTTATCCCCCGCTTTCACCGAAACGGGGGATATTAATATGGGTCTGTCTGTCCATCTGTCTGTCTGTTTGTCACGCTTCGTTTCAGTGCAATAACTACAACAAATATTAACCGATTTTCTTCAAACTTGGTCACAGGGTTAAATGCCTTAAGGGCTCGGCCAAGTTCGATGTCCACTACTGGGATTTGTTTCTGTCAAATAACTATAACAAATGTTAACCGATTTTCTTCAAACTTGGTTCGATTTTGATGAAAATCAGTTTTTGGTTTCATTGCAATAGCTACCACACGGAGGCTTCTGATTGGTCGACATTTAGATATTGTTAGATTTTGATGAAAATTTGTATATAAGGATATTAGAGGACTGCGAATAAAACCGCATTAGTTTCGTTACCATAGCAACCACACGGAGGCTTCTGATTGGTGGAAATTCAGATATTGTTCGATTTTGATGAAAATCGTTATAGAGGGGTATAAGGGGACTGCAAATTCAAAATTTAGTACATTGTAGGTGTACTATGGCAATGCGATCCTTTTCTGATGCATCTTTGCGACTATGGGGGCAGTTTGGGGGACATCTGTGATGATCTCCCATTACAATTAGTACTTGTTGCTGTAGATATTGTTAAGATGTTTCCACCAAATTCCTTATGCACATCCAACTCATGCTAAGTTTGCCAACCGATGTGATTTGTGCATATTTACGGATAATTAATAAGGTATAAGGTGGGTTTTTTTCTTCAAGTTTCAAGCTATAAATTATGTCTCAACAGCACGATACTCTCATGTTTAAACCTAACCTCAATAATGTTTACCTACAATATGTCCTGCAAGAGGAGGATATAAATTCAACGAATTTGCTTGTTTTAATTCTGTTGAATATTTGAATATTCCAAAAAAACACTCCAAATACGATATGTTGTTTTATCAACATCAAGCACACCCTGAAAGAAATTATATTTGTGTTCCTGCATTATGCTGATATGAAATTATTGACAAGCATCATTTTGATGTAAAAGTAGACATATAGTCTATCACATCTGTATTTGAAACCAGACATGTACATACAGAATCTTTAATAATTTTATATTTCCAAGTTTTAAAAATATTTTTGGAATGAGTCATAAGAAATTAAGATGATACAAGTTTATCGCTATACCAGGAATGTGAGGGAATTATCATGTAAACATTTTTCTGTGGCTATCAAGTCTTTGAGATATATGAATGTAAACTTTATTTTTTTACAACAATTATGAAACAAGTTATTTCAACTTATATTGCTAACTCTTGTTGGCCCTGTTTTAAGTGCGCAGGGGGTCTTAATGTGGGAGGAAACCAGAGTACCAGAGAAAACCCACGTGGTCGGGCAGGTAACCCCATACCTTTTGACGTCCGACCGGGGAATCGCGGTGAAAGGCAAGTGCGCTATCCACTGCACCACCCGACCACCCAAGTCTTTGGTGTTTGCCATCTTGATGTCATATCTGTCATTTTGATATACCATTTCTATTGTTTTTATTACAATAATGTATGACGTTATGCTGGCAGAGCTTTCAGTAGACCCATGAGAGTAAGTTATTTTAGTTCCCAATATGAATTTTTACTCTTGCAGCTGAAAGTACAGGTTTATTTGCCATGTGTTTTGACTCTCTAAAATCCAGTGAAAATATCACTGTTAAAGTACACAGTTTAGCAGAAGTCTTATTTTGGCGCTTTCTGTCCTTTAGATATTGCGCTAAAATATTATTTTGCCAGTCAAAATTCCTGTGTATTGTTTTCTACTGCATATTTAGTGGGTGCGCAAATTCCTCAATATGCTCAGCTCTTAAACTTCAATAGTGTGCTAGTAGTTGAGTGTTCATACATAAGTATGCTAGAAGTATTTGTCTTCTAATGTTTCTAAATGTAAAGAGTCAACTGAAATCCGAGGCCAAACAATATTAAATTTCTATTAATATACAGATTATAGGTTATACAGGGTTATATGCAGACAAATTATATGACGGGTTTATTAACAGCAAGACAAAGTAACTGTTTCACAGCTAGAATTTACAGTCATTATGACTGTTGTTAAATGTCTGTGCTCCTTCCCTCCTGCGACCTCACAGTTCCGATGGTATGTTTTGCATACCCGGTACATATTTTTCTGGAGAAAAGTAGTGGTTTTTTTTCAAGTTCATTGGATCATTTTTCGTTAATGTACATATGTCTCATAATGATGTACAAATAATCAACATTACACTCTTTATATTTGTTTTTTTTTATACATTTTTGATAAGGTTTATAATAAATAGCTTAAGTTTACATCATATCATATTCCCATGGGAAATCTTCATTGGACACATATATTACACGATTTTTGTCTATAATACATTAGGTAGTACATCTCATTCCATGCATCAAATGCTGGATGCGGCCTTTCTTGGTCCATTGACTTTGTCAGCATCTCTATCAACATTCAGTTTTGCGTTTAAGTTAGTTCTCTTATAATTAACTTTAAGTGGCTACACCAACCAAACTTGACATGTGCATTGATGGTCAAAGCGGGGCAAAGGTGAGACATATCAATCCAAATGGCTTCTTTTTTTTACAAGATTCATGTATTTAAATTGATCAAATATCACTAAAAATAAAAAGTGTATGTTTACATGTCCCAAAAAGCTGTAAGGTATTTTTGAAGAAATGCTTTTTTTTTTCTAAAACAATAAGTCACATTTGTCCCTGTTCAATTTCAAACAATATATGTAAATACATGTATCTATACCCACTAAGGTCTAAAAGCACAAGTACCCAAGTGTTTTTATTTTTTAACATTTTAAGCATCTGAGCCATTTTTTAAATGAGTGAAAGCATAAAAACAAATGTTTCACATATTACTCTTAAGGTGGCTCCACACTTTTGCAATTAACCAGCCAAATTCGTTGAAACTTTCATATAATGGTTATGCAACTATGTAGAGTTGATTTTATGAAAATCTTAACATTCCGATAGTTTGGGGACTTTTTTCGAAAAAATACCAAAAAGTTGAATTTTCGTCAATTTTAATATTTTCCGGTTTTTTTTGTGTGTGACATTGTTCGGAACAATAAAAATTGAGTCCGAGCTGTACTTTTTTCCGGAAGTACGTCACGAAAATGGACGCTGATGACGATGTGTGGAGCCACCTTAAGGGAGGATATTTTTTATTGACCTGGAAAGCTCCAATGTACACAAATGACGTAAGATATTTTCGCAAAAACATCTCTATTAACATTTAAATATTTATTATGTCATTCCTCAAAATGCACTTTGAATGAAAAAATGATGAAAAAGAGAATTTTATGAACAGAAATGTTAGGGTTAGGGTTAGGCTTAAGGTTGTTTCTTGTAACATGCTGGGGCCTGATGGTCCATATGTTGTAGATATCCTTGGTCGAAAAGTAATTCTGTTAGCTATGAGTTTTATTAACTTCAATACCTCTTTAGAAAAAGTATTTTGATGACTGAAAGAATAAAAAAAAAAAAAAAATAATGGCGGGAGGATGTACCACAAACTGAAAACTTATATAGGACACATTATTTTTTTTATCATTTTAAGGGGTTTATATCTGTATATTATTAGCTCAAGTGAGCTTATGTTATGGTGCAGCACCCGTCTTCCGTCCTTCCGTCCGTCCGTCCGTCGTCTGTCGTCCGTCGTCTGTCGTCCGTCGCTGTCTGTCCGGCGTCAACTTTTTGCTTTAAACAACTTCTTTTCGGTAACCAAAAGGCCTAGGAAGATGATATTTGGCCAGTAGCATGCTTGGATCAAGGGCTACAAAGTTTGTTCAAATAAATGACCTTAACCCACTTTCAAGGTCACAGGGGTCAAATATGTTAAAATCTTCAAACATCTACTTCACAATAACCAAAAGGCCCAGGGTACTGATATTGGGCCTGTAGCATGCTGGGATGAAGGGCTACCAAGTTTAATCAAATGAATG